CGGCGCTTCCGGTCTCCAACAAAGCAGACTTGGTCGCTTACACTGATGATCAGCTTGTGGCACCTATCATTATGTCACCGGTCCGGATGGCTACCGACCACAAAAATGAAGCTGCTTCGGACGTCGTATCTATACCTACGCTGATCGATGCCGAATTGCTGGTTCAAGGGTCACTTCGAGTTAAGCGAAGAAGAGCCAGGAAACCTCGTAAGCACTCTGCTAAGCAAGAAGTTGTCTCGGCACCGGAAACAAGCCAATTGTCGTTATTTGGCAAACCGTCTGACGGTTGTGCGAAGGCGAAGATCACAACACGCACTACTTATCAGCCGAAGTTGTCGGAAGTCTTGGTTCTCACCGAGAAGACATAGTCTGAATGTGTGTTTGATTCTGCTCAAAGCGAAAAAGCTTCACGGGACCCTACTCCTGTTATCAAGAAGAAAAAGCAGACAAAACCTGCTATAAAGCCTTCCGGTGAAATCGATGAGCCTAACAAAAGTAAGACATCGACAATGGAGAGAAAAACATACGCTGCCATTGCTACATCAACGGAGGGGCTAAAGACAGTTCCATCACCAGCAGTGAAGCCATCTGCTCCGAGTGGCTGGCTAGCCGAACAACCTCCTCATGGTGCCAGCTGGGTGGTTCGGGTTTTATCCGTTCCAGCTAATAGTTCGGCGGCAGTGTTCCAGGACGTGGTGGGTTTTCGCCTGGCGAGCGTTCTCCCTATAAAAAGCCACAAATGTCTGCTTAACAGCACTGTGACGTGGCGGTCGTGGCTCGCCACCAAATAAAGTCACTGCCCCGTGGAAATCTGGATAATCCTTTCCAATCCACGGACACCAATCTTCCAATCGCATCTTGCAGACGATCTCAAACATTCAAGAATGGAGCAGCACAGTTACAAGCGCAAATAACACAGTTACCTAAACGTACACGCAATTACATACTTACATTCCCCCTACACAAACAAGCACTGTTATGGCAAACATACCGGATTTTTGCAACTTCTTGATCACGTATTGTATTGTCAAAATGATCATGCCTGTAAAGATGTGCCTCGCCTTGCCGAGAATAAACGATTTATTTATTTATTTATTTAAAGACCCGTGGGGTTAATACACCCCGTCGTGGCGATTCGTTCACAGATAGTAGCGTTATATGCCGTAACTCGGCTGAATCTACTGCTTTCCTTCCCGCTGATCGCATGTTGGACGACCTTCAATGGTTTAAAATGTGCGTAACGAAGCTTCTTCCGCCTCGTTTTCCAGGCGTTACTGTCAGGAAGCTGATTAGACTGGGAACGTCCCAGTTAACGTACCAAACACGCGACCGCGGCTACTTCGTGTGGTACTCTCTACCCCGGAGGAACGCAATGCTCTCATGCGGTATGCGTTTAAGCTGAAAGGCACAAATTTTAGCGTTCAGCCGGACCTTCCGCTAGCCGATAGGCTGAAGCTAAGGGAGGCCATCAAGGATCTCAAAAGCAGGCGAGCGGCCGGTGAACAAGGTCTCCGGTTAGTGGGTTTTCGGGTGGTCAGCCGGCGGTCCTTTTCCGCCCTACCAGTGCCAGTACTGGTAGCGCACGACCCAGGTCTGAATCTAACGAAAAACTTCAGATAGTGCTAAGTAATGTGCGCAGCCTAAGGAATAAGGTGAACGAGTTAGGTCTGCTTGTAGATGGGTCTCATCCCGATATACTCGCATTCACTGAAACGTGGCTGTCTCAGGACATCACGGATGGTGAAGTACATCTATCTGGCTACGCACCATTTAGATGCGATCGCTCCGCTGGCCGACAGGGAGGGGGCGTCGCTCTTTATGCGAGCTGTAGACTTGACGTTTTGAAGACTTGCTTATTTCAGTCGGCAGACAAAACTGTTGAAGCTCTATCAACTGTTATTAGCACATCCTCGGCTCAGGTTACAGTTGTAATTGTGTATAGAAGCCCTGGGAGCGTATCCAAAGAGGTACTTGAATTCATTCGCTCCCAGTCCGCAAATAAGTGTCTGGTGATGGACGACTTCAACCTCCCAGAGGTTTGCTGGGCAGATCTTTCTTGCGACGCAGCGTCAGGCACATTCGGTGCTGATCTGCTTGAACTTACGCTCAAACTATCTTTGCACCAGTTCATTGACCTCCCCACTAGGTACATGGACGCCCAAGTACCGTCTATCTTAGACCTCGTATTCGCTAAGTCACTCGATTTTGTTGATGACATTACTTACGGACCTCCACTGGGTTCCAGTGATCATGTTTGTTTGCTCTTCAATTGTACTCTGTCTAGACGCTACCAGAGTACTGTTGAGTCTCGCCCGAACATATGGCAAGCAGACTATCAATCAATGAGAGCCAAGGCTTCTGGTTTCCATTGTGAGATCTCAGACGACGATACTGTCCAGGTTGCCTGGGATAAATTTAAGTCCTACCTCACAGAGGTCTCTGCTCCCTTCATACCAGTCACAAGGAGAAAGGAGTCCCGAGCACAGCCGCCCTGGATAGATCCCACTGGCAGGCATCTGCTCACAAAGTGGTCTAGATGTTGGTGGACTTACCGAGACGCTCCGTCCACCGATACTTATGACAGGTACCGTAAAGCTAGAAATAGGTGTAAGCAACACCTAAGGGATGCTCGGCTCAATTTTGAAAAAGGGTTAGCGGACGAAGCTTCAGAGAATCCAAAAAGATTCTTCGCTTATGTCAAAAGGCGCTGCGCTTCCAACATGTCAATTCCAGTGTTGATGCGTGATGACGGTACTCATGCGCATACGGATTATGACAAGGCCTGCGTACTCAGTGGGCAATATGCGGCAGCGTTTGTAAGGGAAACCTCTTTGACAGGCGTTGAGCTGGTTTGCAGGACCCCAGAGGGTTCAGAACTATCTGAATTTATTGTAGCGGAGACTGCAGTTCGTAGGCTGTTACAAGGGCTGAACCGTTCTAAGGCCTCTGGGCCTGATTTAATTCACCCGAAACTGTGCATGAGTTGGCTGCGGAACTAAGTGGACCGCTCGCTATTGTGTTTCAGAAATCGCTTGGCAGTTGTGCATTGCCTTCCGAACGGAAGGAAGCTGTCATCTGTCCCATCTTCAAACATGGGGACAGGGGTCTGCCTGCAAATTACAGGCCAGTTAGTCTGACGAGTGTAATAGTCAAACTCCTCGAGAAGCTGATGAGAGATTCACTGGAGAGTCATCTGAGTAGATTTAATCTACTTAGCAATGTACAACACGGATTTCGGAAGGGATTTTCGTGTCTGACGAATCTGTTGGTGGCTCGCGAAAATTGGGCGGATGCAGTGGATAACGGCCACACACTGGACGTGCTTTTCGTCGCTTTTTCGAAGGCATTTGACAAGGTACCCCATTTGAGGCTCGTGCAAAAGCTGTCCTCCTACAGGGTATCTGGCCTCGCCCTTCATTGGGTGACTGCCTTCTTGGATGGTAGAGAACAATGTGTACGGGTAGGCCTGGGTCTATCATTTAGGCAGTCTGTCCTCAGCGGCGTGCCGCAGGGCTCGGTCCTTGGACCGCTGTTGTTCTCTATCTATGTGAATGACCTACCCACGGAGCTTGAGGTACCATCGCTGCTATTTGCTGATGACCTGAAGCTGTGGAACATTGTTGATGTTCCTGGGGGTTCCGAAGCTATTCAGCGAGCGTTGCATAAGCTTTGGGACCGGTCTACTTTAAGGTTACTTCCCATAAATCAGGCAAAGTGCTCCGTTCTTCGAATTGGAGGAGGTTGTCCTCCTGCGAAGTACTTGGTCGGTGGGGTCGAACTCCCCCGTGTATCTAGCCAGGTTGACCTAGGCGTCGTGCACTCTTTGGCGTTACACTCCGGCGACAGCTGGAAGAAGGCCGCAGGCAGAGATTGCCGCATGTTGTGGTTAATCCGACGTTCTTGACGGGCGGCATCGTTACGAGGCTGCACTCGGCTTTCGTTCGCCCTCATCTGGAATATTGCGTCCAGGCTTGTCCGCCCTGCCTCGTCCGGGAAAAATGGAGCTGGAGAGGGTTTTACGAGTGGGTACTAGGTTAGTCGAGGGATTACGGGGACAGACGTACCCCGAGTGTCCACTTAGTTTGGGAATGCATTCAATGCACTACCGAAGGCTTAGAGGAGACCTAATCCTAACCTACCGTATCTTGACTGGGAAGGTTGGTCCAGATTTGTCTTGGCTATTCAGTCCCGCTAGATTGTCTGTTCTACGCGGTCATTCGTTGAAGCTGGACAAACCGCGGTCCGATCGGATTAGGGCCAAAATCCGGCTGTCACGCCGAGTTATCGACCGCTGGAACATGCTTCCGGAAAGTGTTATCAGGGAATCTACGGTTAAGGGGTTTGAGCGGCAACTTGACGCTCTTGGGTGGCAACACGAAACCTTTCCATTTTCCTGAGTAACTCACATCTTCGTACTTCGATTTTCTTTTCTCTACTTTTCTTCACGTATTGGTATTATTTTCTTATGTAAGTGCACTTCCCTATTGTGTACCTTCAATTTCTCTTCCTATCCTTTGCTTACTTCACGTGACTGCCACAGCAGGGACTGCTAGGGCAGGAAACGTGGGCATTAACTAGATGGCCAGGGTGCGATACGGGTGTTTCCGTTTTAGATCCATCAATAACTGAGCAATTCATCAATTCCTGGCTCAACGATTCACTCAAGATGGAACACTCACGGGATTCTCCTATCGTTCCAGTCCCCATCTGAACTGAACTGAACTGTTGCCTCTAAGACAGCTACAATGGTCCTCTGCGGAAACTTCTGCCGCAATGACCCACGCAACCTCCGCCACGATCGGGAAGTGAAGGAGCTGACAAAGGTTTTTCCTTCTGCACTCTAGCATCCAACGATCCAATGATCCAATTAAGGTAGCAAAGCAGTGAGGTGATCGACATTTCTTTTTTCTTACAGGCCGAAAATAAAACGCTTGTATGAGGTTTTTATTTTTTGTTGGATTATTTTGAGTTTTGCGCTGCCAACTGGTTAAACCTTATCGCTTTCCAACTAATGGAGATTATGTGAGTGCGGCGCCTCTCCTATGGTGCGCTTTGCGTCAGTGTATCGAAATAACCGATTGGCTGAGTGCCCTTTTTCGATGGTCCTCCGATTCAAAAGCATCGTAATAGCTGTTACGAGTCTTCCCTTTACGGGGCTTATTTTGTGTACATTGTCGTCTTTCTATGTATCTTTCGACGAAGTAACTGAGGCCATTTGCGGGGTATATTCCTAAATTATTTTAACTGGTAATTTTTCGAGGTCTCTAATTTCATCCCATCAATCAGCGCCGTCACCGGCATTGCTCCTCAGCTGTACTTTTGGAGATTCGCTGTAGGACTCCATAGTACTCCGCGCGTTCTTATGGCCGTGATCTATCTCCGGTACCACAAGTTTTTTGTGGACCATATGCATTATCCCAACCTGTTTAATTTTGTACTTAACGCTTCTTTTGTCCTAAATATGATTGATTTGGCGACATTCGTGGGTGTTGCCTACGTGTCAAATAGTGAGAATTTCCGTAAGTGGAATTGCGCCTTTCACTCTTTCAGCCATACACGAGCGCCTGTTTGTAGTATTCCTGTCTGCGTCTTCTCTATACATGCTTGTGACCATAGCGATTCACGAAATACTCCGATTCAGGAAGCTTCTTGGCTTCAGGGTTTGCCCATCTATTTCAATCCGTATCCTCAGATGACCCATTCTCTTAGAGTGAAGAAGATATTTTTCGGCCTAACTATGTTCTTTCTATCTTTTCTTGTGTACCACTTTTATCAGCATAGGTTCAGATGCAAGCCTAACGGTGAGTTTGTTACTTACCTCAGATATCTTGGATCGATTAAAGCGGTTCTGGTCAAAGCGTCTTTGGCGCTTACTGGTAATTCTTCCAGTTTTTCCCAGTTTTAACCCCGTTTTGCACCCCATTTTTTTGCCTTTTTATTGTGGTCGTTTAACTATTGCATACGTGTTATAATCACTCTGTTTTCCACTATGTCGGTCTCGCAATGCACCGAGGCTGTTGTTCCTGATGGCTCGGATTCTGAGGTTATCGCACTTTGTGGCGGACCGAGCTGCAATGTACCAGTAACTGACGATTCAGGCGGTATGCAATGCGATGTCTGCAACCGATGGTACCATCAGCTTTGTACGGAGCTAAATACCGAGCAGTACGCAGCGCTGGCCTCTAGCGAAAAGTTGCTGTTCCGTTGTGCCAATTGCTGCAGCCGCCGGCAAGGCCGCACAGTCCTTCGTACGAGAGATGAATCTCTTGATACCCGGCTGCGAAATGTAGAGCGTTCGTTCTCGATGCTCTCTGATCTTCGCTCAAAGATTGATCTGCTTATGACGACGCTTCCGGTCTCCAACAAAGCAGATTTGATCGCTTACACTGATGATCAGCTTGTGGCACCTATCATTATGTCACCGGTCCAGATGGCTACCGACCACAAAAATGAAGCTGCTTCGGACGTCGTATCTATACCTACGCTGATCGATGCCGAATTGCTGGTTCAAGGGTCACTTCGAGTTAAGCGAAGAAGAGCCAGGAAACCTCGTAAGCTCTCTGCTAAACAAGAAGTTGTCTCGGCACCGGTAACAGGCCAAGTGTCGTTACTTGGCAAACCGTCTGACGGTTGTGCGAAGGCGAAGATCACAACACGCACTACTTATCAGCCGAAGTTGCCGGAAATCTTGGTTCTCACCGAGAAGACATATTCTGAAGGTGTGCTTGATTCTGCTCAAAGCGAAAAAGCTTCACGGGACCCTACTCCTGTTATCAAGAAGAAAAAGCAGACAAAATCTGCTTTAAAGCCTTCCGGTGAAATCGATGACCCTAACAAAAGTAAGACATCGACAATGGAGCGAAAAACATACGCTGCCGTTGCTACATCATCGGAGGGGCTAAAGACAGTTCCATTACCAGTAGTGAAGCCACCTGCTCCGAGTGCCGAATCAAAGACCCGTGGGGTTAATACACCCCGTCGCGGCGATTCTTTCACGGATAGTAGCGTTATATTCCGTAACGCGGCTGAATCTACTGCTGTCCTTCCCGCTGATCGCATGTTGGACGACCTTCAATGGTTTAAAATGTGCGTAACGAGGCTTCTTCCGCCTGGTTTTCCAGGCGTTACTGTCAGGAAGCTGATTAGACTGGGGAACGTCCCAGTTAACGTACCAAACCCGCGACCGCGGCTACTTCGTGTGGTACTCTCTACCCCGGAGGAACGCAATGCACTCATGCGGTTTGCGTTTAAGCTGAAAGGTACAAACATTAGCGTTCAGCCGGACCTTCCGCTAGCCGATAGGCTGAAGCTAAGGGAGGCCATCAAGGACCTCAAAAGCAGGCGAGCGGCCGGTGAACAAGGTCTCCGGTTAGTGGGTTTTCGGGTGGTCAGCCGGCGGTCCTTTTCCGCCCTACCAGTGCCAGTACTGGTAGCGCACGACCCAGGTCTGGATCTAACGAAAAACTTCAGATAGTGCTAAGTAATGTGCGCAGCCTAAGGAATAAGGTGTACGAGTTAGGTCTGCTTGTAGATGGGTCTCATCCCGATATACTCGCATTCACTGAAACGTGGCTGTCTCAGGACATCACGGATGGTGAAGTACATCTATCGGGCTACGCACTATTTAGATGCGATCGCTCTGCTGGCCGACAGGGAGGGGGCGTCGCTCTTTATGTGAGCTGTAAACTTGACGTTTTGAAGACTTGCCTATTTCAGTCAGCAGACAAAACTGTTGAAGCTCTGTCGGCTGTTATTAGCACATCCTCGGCTCAGGTTACAGTTGTAATTGTGTATAGAAGCCCTGGGAGCGTATCCAAAGAGGTACTTGACTTCATTCGCTCCCAGTCCGCAAATAAGTGTTTGGTGATGGGCGACTTCAACCTCCCAAAGACTTGTTGGGCAGATCTTTCTTGCGACTCAGCGTCAGGCACATTCGGCGCTGATCTGCTTGAACTTACGCTCCAAGTATCTTTGCACCAGTTCATTGACCTCCCCACTAGGTACATGGACGCCCAAGTACCGTCTATCTTAGACCTTGTATTCGCTAAGTCACTCGATTTTGTTGGTGACATTACTTACGGACCTCCACTGGGTTCCAGTGATCATGTTTGTTTGCTCTTCAATTGTACTCTGTCTAGACGCTACCAGAGTACTGTTGAGTCTCGCCCGAACATATGGCAAGCAGACTATCAATCAATGAGAGCCAAGGCTTCTGGTTTCCATTGTGAGATCTCAGACGACGATACTGTCCAGGTTGCCTGGGATAAATTTAAGTCCTACCTCACAGAGGTCTCTGCTCCCTTCATACCAGTCACAAGGAGAAAGGAGGCCCGAGCACAGCCGCCCTGGTTAGATCCCACTGGCAGGCATCTGCTCACAAAGAGATCTAGATGTTGGCGGACTTACCGAGACGCTCCGTCTACCGATACTTATGACAGGTACCGTAAAGCTAGAAATAGGTGTAAGCAACACCTAAGGGATGCTCGGCTCACTTTTGAAAAAGGGTTAGCGGACGAAGCTTCAGAGAATCCAAAAAGATTCTTCGCTTATGTCAAAAGACGCTGCGGTTCGAAAATGTCAATTCCAGTATTGATGCGTGATGACGGTACTCATGCGCATACGGATTATGACAAGGCCTGCGTGCTCAGTGGGCAATATGCGGCAGCGTTTGTAAGGGAAACCTCTTTGACAGGCGTTGAGCTGGTTTGCAGGACTCCAGAGGGTTCAGAACTATCTGAATTTATTGTAGCGGAGACTGCAGTTCGTAGGCTGTTACAAGGGCTGAACCCTTCTAAGGCCTCTGGGCCTGATTTAATTCACCCGAAACTGTTGCATGAGTTGGCTGCGGAACTAAGTGGACCGCTCGCTATTGTGTTTCAGAAATCGCTTGACAGTTGTGCATTGCCTTCCGAATGGAAGGAAGCTGTCATCTGTCCCATCTTCAAACATGGGGACAGGGGTCTGCCTGCAAATTACAGGCCAGTTAGTCTGACGAGTGTAATAGTCAAACTCCTCGAGAAGCTGATGAGAGATTCACTGGAGAGTCATCTGAGTAGATTTAATCTACTTAGCAATGTACAACACGGATTTCGGAAGGGATTTTCGTGTCTGACGAATCTGTTCGTGGCTCGCGAAAATTGGGCGGATGCAGTGGATAACGGCCACACGCTGGACGTGCTTTTCGTCGACTTTTCGAAGGCATTTGACAAGGTACCCCATTTGAGGCTCGCGCAAAAGCTGTCCTCCTACGGGGTATCTGGCCGCGCCCTTCATTGGGTGACTGCCTTCTTGGAGGGTAGAGAACAATGTGTACGGGTAGGCCGGGGTCTGTCATTTAGGCAGTCTGTCCTCAGCGGCGTGCCGCAGGGCTCGGTCCTTGGACCGCTGTTGTTCTCTATCTATGTGAACGACCTACCCACGGAGCTTGAGGTACCATCGCTGCTATTTGCTGATGACCTGAAGCTGTGGAACATTGTTGATGTTCCTGGGGGTTCCGAAGCTATTCAGCGAGCATTGGATAAGCTTTGGGACTGGTCTACTTTATGGTTACTGCCCATAAATCAGGCAAAGTGCTCCGTTCTTCGAATTGGAGGAGGTTGTCCTCCTGCGAAGTACTTGGTCGGTGGGGTCGAACTCCCCCGTGTATCTAGCCAGGTTGACCTAGGCGTCGTACACTCTTCGGCGTTACACTCCGGCGACAACTGGAAGAAGGCCGCAAGCAGAGGTTTACGCATGTTGTGGTTAATCCGACGTTCTTTCGGAGTCTTGACGGGCGGCATCTTTACGAGGCTGTTCTCGGCTTTCGTTCGCCCTCATCTGGAATACTGCGTCCAGGCTTGTCCGCCCTGCCTCGTCCGGGACAAAATGGAGCTAGAGAGGGTTTTACGAGTGGGTACTAGGTTAGTCGAGGGATTACGGGGACGGACGTACCCCGACGGCACATTTACGAGGCTTTCTCGGCTTTCGTTCGCCCTCATCTGGAATACTGCGTCCAGGCTTGTCCGCCCTGCCTCGTCCGGGACAAAATGGAGCTAGAGAGGTTTTTACGAGTGGGTACTAGGTTAGTCGAGGGATTACGGGGACGGACGTACCCCGAGCGTCTACTTAGTTTGGGAATGCATTCAATGCACTACCGAAGGCTTAGAGGAGACCTAATCCTAACCTACCGTATCTTGACTGGGAAGGTTGGTCCAGATTTGTCTTGGCTATTCAGTCCCGCTAGATTGTCTGTTCTACGCAGTCATTCGTTGAAGCTGGACAAACCGCGGTCCGATCGGATTAGGGCGGAAATCCGGCTGTCACGCCGAGTTATCGACCGCTGGAACATGCTTCCGGAAAGTGTTATCAGGGAATCTACGGTTAAGGGGTTTGAGCGGCAACTTGACGCTCTTGGGTGGCAACACGAAACCTTTCCATTTTCCTGAGTAACTCACATCTTCGTACTTCGATTTTCTTTTCTCTACTTTTCTTCACGTATTGGTATTATTTTCTTATTTAAGTGCACTTCCCTATTCTGTACCTTCGATTTCTCTTCCTATCCTTTGCTTACTTCACGTGACTGCCACAGCAGGGACTGCTAGGGCAGGAAACGTGGGCATTAACTGGTTGGCCAGGGTGCGATACGGGTGTTTCCGTTTTAGATCCATCAATAACTGAGCACTTCATCAATTCCTGGCTCAACGATCCACTCAAGATGGAACACTCACGGGATTTTCCTATCGTTCCAGTCCCCATCTGAACTGAACTGAAATCACTTAAATCGTAAGCGTTCTTTGAGTTATTTTTCCTAAATTATGCCCAA